GGTCGATTAAAGAACGCCAGGCAATTACAGGAAGCGGTGGGAACGACGTCGTCGTCGATAGGTAGGATCGGGATAGGCTAGGTGCTTCCGCCTTTTTACCCTTCAAAAGCGGGACACTGCGGATTATGCGTCGCGATAGTAAAATTGTAATGGTCATCGAGCGTATTATAGCCGCCCTTGAATCTTTAACCTTCCAGCTTTGCTACGGATTATTCTCGTCCTTAGCTCGCGCGTGCCTCGAGTTACATATACCGGGTTGGTGTGGATATAGTGCGGCAGGTTTGCCTTCTCATGGTGTGGTTGAAAAGTGACGATGAAAAGAAACGTTAACGAGAGAGGAATAAATAAAGAAAGTAAATTGACGTGATGTATATAAATAAAGTAATTTGATATAATTGGTTTACATTTGTATCTGTGGGATGCATTGTCATGAGAACTCTAAGGGGTGGAGTTTTTAGAGTGACGTAAAAATGATAATAAATATGAGCAATACAACTCGATGAACGAGATGAGGAAAGTTAGAATGGAATTCCCTGCAGAATCTTCCAAATTATAATAATTACTGTGACTTTTCTCCAAGAGAAAAATATTTCCTGGAACTGCAAGGGGATGATTCTCACTGTGAGGTTGAAAAGTGACGATGAACAGGAAGATTAATGAGATAATAAAGAAAACTTTCATCTAAAGGGATTTTTCAAAGAGGAAATTTAAAATAATTCAAGGTACCTCTTTATATTTATGGAACATTGCCCGTGAGATACTAAATATTATTTTACGAGGAATTTTCAAGTGGTGAATTTTCAGAGTAATATTAAAAAATGAAATATTGTTAACGAGACGAAGAAAGTTACATTACAATTCAGTACAATAATTACACTTTAAATCCGAAATATTCTCTTCGAGATCAAAAAAAAATATCTCGCAAAATCCTACGAGAATAATCCTCGCGACAATTGAAAAATGATAATGAATAGAAATATAAATGAGACGTAGAAATCTGAGATTTTTCAGAGAGAAAATTTAACGAAGTATAATTTGAAGAAATTATTCGTGTTTTCACATATATAATATTATTTTACGAAAAAGAGTTGGATTTTCAGAGTAAAGTGAAATGAAATCATGAAAGACGAACGACAGTTAAATAAATCACTCGCGGATTTTATTCGTTGAGGTAAAATAAATAAGAAGTCATTGCAGAAATAGAACGCAAAAATTAGACAACTATTTTATCTGACGGTCAAATTTCAAGACAAATCATTTATTTGTTCAATTACTTCAATAAAATCAAATACGGTGACGTAGATAATTTAAATGATAATTTTTTAAATATTTCATTTAAATAACATTTAATTCAAATAATCAGAACATCAAATTTCTCTCCCTTTTACCCTAGCTTTTACGAAACTTTGACGAAA